ATTCGTCACAAATGCAATTATGATGCAAATTTTAGTTATTAATTATTAAAATTGATATTAAATAAAAACGATATTTATATAATTACAACACAAATATTTTAACAAAAATTTTGTCAAAAAATAATAATATATAAATTTATCACAAAAGTTTAATAAAAAATATTATTATTTCAATACTAATCAATTTTGATTAAAATTAATCAAACCCGATTAAATTAATCAAGCCCAATTAAAATTAATCAGGTCCAAACTAATTTCAAGTTTTATTGAGTTTCACATGTTTTATAGTGCAAAAATTTATTTTCTTAAATATTTTTTTGTCGATGTGAGATATATTTATAGTGTAAAACTTTATTGTCTTATGTGTTTTTTATTGATGTGGGATGCATTGATTAGAGAAAATTGACAGTTTTTAGTGACGAAATATATTTTTTAGTGCTAAATTATCTAGTCATCATTGAATGTGTAAGGTATACGTGACTAATATTAGAATTTTGTCATAATTGTAATGCATTATAGTGATGATTTTTATCGACAAAAACTTATTTTATCTCTATGAATATTTTTCGGTAACAAAATATATTTTTTATGATAAATTTTTTTGTTCATCATTAAATATATATGCATCTGTAACTAATTTTTTAGATCTGTCACAATTATAATAAGTTATAGTGATGATTTCAAAATTCATCACAAATTTCTGTTACTAAAAATTATTTTTCTTATAGTGTATAATGCATTACCATTATAACAAAATTTTAATATTGGTCACATATACCTTACACATTCAATGATGACCAAATAATTCATTACTAAAAATATATTTTTTCACTAAAAATTATCAGTTTTTTCTAATCAATACATCTCACATCGATAAAAAACATATAAGAGAATAAAATTTTACACTATAAATATATCCCACATCGATGAGAAATATTTAAGAAAATAAATTTTTATACTATCAAACATGTGAAACTCTATAAAACATGTGAAACTCAATAAAACTTGAGATTAGTTTGGATCTGATTAATTTTAATTGGGATTGATTAATTTTAATTAAAATTGATTAGTATTGAAATAATAATATTTTTATTAAACTTTTGTGATAAATTTATTTTTTTTTGTGACAATTTTTATTACAATATTTGTGTTGTAATTATATAAATATTTTTTTTATTTAATATCAATTTTAATAATTAATCACTAAATTTTTCATCACAATTATATTTGTGACTATTTTTTTGTCACTCAATTATAACATTTGTGATGAAAATTATTGTAATAAAAAATATTTTTTGTGACGAATAAAATTATTATAAATAACTTATTAACAATGTCAATTTTTTCTATCACTATAAAATTATTTTTTGTAACAAGTGTCTAATTTATCACTAAAAACATTAATGACAAGAGTTTTACTAACAGTTTAAATTTTATCATTAATAATAATTTGTGATGAAAAATAAAAATTTAATTATCAATAATTTAATCATTAAATATGAATTTTCTTGTAGCGTGGGATTGACCCTACTGAGCAGCAGTGGCAAGCAAGAAATCTCATATCTGTTCAAGGATGAACCATTTCTCCTAACCACGAGCGACCACGCCGGATGCTTCCACCATGCTGTTTACAATTGGGAATTCTGAGCATGAAGACGGGAAGATGCCTCCATAGATCTTTTTCCCTTTTCTTTTCTTTT